TGTCAAGCTCTGTTCTATTTTTCCAGAGCATGTCACGGTGGCCGTTTTAGTCAAAATATTTTTTTGTGGGAACACTTTTACGGTACGTATAGATCGAGCTCATTCACTGATCGTGACTTAATTTTGAAAATTGAATGTCAAATTATACCAGATCGCCCACCTGTGGACCAACGTGGTTTTGGTATCGTTATTTTTGGAATGAATCATTAACATTTTCCTCGTTTCTCTGCTCTGTCGAAAGAAGTTACCTATGCTCTTTTCACGTAACTGTCTGATTAAAATAAAATATTACATTTACTGATTTAGAACAAGCACCCAAAACACGTAACAAGAGGTCCCAGTTAAGTTGCTTTGACGATTGGTTGTCATGCGACTATTAGATTTGAAAAAGTACCATTTCGACTACTCATGTGTGATCAGTGTTTTGGCTAGCAGTCAATGTTTTCAATAAGCGAGCGAGCGAAAAAAAGAGCGATTAAAATACTGTCGATTTCCGGTCTGACAAGACCGTTCGGTTGGAAATCAAGCAATAAGCTGTGGGTGTAAAAGCGGAAAGCTGGGCGAAATGAGTACCGTAATTACGTAAACTTTGTAGTATTGATATGCAAATCAGATCTTTCATCAAGTGTCAATTAGGATTACTTTCATGGGAGTGTTGTGCTTGTGTTGGTGGTGTTTATAAACAATCACACGTGGCAATGTTTTGAAATAGAAAAAACGTCGAAATAAGCGTTATAAAATGGAGTTTTTGTTTAGAATAAAAGCACAGTCAAAGATACTGTCATAACCATCAATAATTTAAAATAAAAAAAAAATATTGAAAAAAAACACATTAAACATATGCTAACCCCTTAAGGTAGAGATGTAGGTTAGGAGACATTATTTTTAATTGGCTCTAATTACTGTAATTACATGAGTAAAATATATCTTTTACCCATCAAGTTATATATCATTCGAAAGAGTTTTACTTAAACTTTCGAGTTCTATGGTTTAAAATAATGTACTATGATACCATATTAGGTGGTGTGGGTTTGGGGTTAAAATCATGCATTTTAGAGTGCACTTAAAACTATTTAACTTTTGAATGCATACCCTGATTTTGATTTAAAAACACTTAATAAAAAAATTTTAAAATTTATGTTTACCAGGAACAAAATGGCTTATTTATTAGTATTTCCATTGAAAAGTTTTTACACAGTGCTCTTTGAATACTTTGCCGGTGAAACAAATTCAAAATGAAGTCATTGGAAGGGGAACTATTGAAAATTGAGGCAGGTTTTATTCAACTATAGACGAGACAGGTGGATGAAAATTAAACTAACCCTGCCCTCTGGAAATACCTCATTCATAGAGTACCTTAATACAGAGGTCGCTGAGCACAACCATACAACGTACTTTGCGACATCTCTATCGGTGCATGCTAGCTGACAAGGTTTCCGTTTAAGGTAACCATGATGGCATTGCAGAGTGTATGGTTTTTCCGCTTTCTGTTTCCTGTTTAAAAACAGCATCTCATTGCTGATTTTTTTGGTAATTTCAAGAGTATTTTTTTTATTTTTAGTTATCCAAGCATTTTACGTTTGTCTATTTTGACACTGAAAAGTTAGTTATCGATGACAGCAACAAAAGTGTTGTTTGTACATTGCATCGCAATTCTATCAGCACGGTGATTGTTACAGCGACCCGAAAAATGTTTACTTCAGTGTTAAAATGCCTTCGGAGTAAAAATGTGTGGAAACATGTTTTAGTTTCGCTCACAATGTGAAAAAGCTTGAAATCTATGCACCAAGAAAACAAAAAAAATTCTGGCCTTGTTTTGGGCGAAAATTAAATCGCCCTATCGGGGCTTTCTCCTACATGAAAATAAATCAAATTGTTTAAGGGGGAATAAGTTTACTTATCATTTACAACTGTATGTTTTGTTTCATTCCACTTGCATGCTGGAAGCGTCCATGTCTTGTCTGTTTTTTTTGTAGTTTGCTAGTTGATCACTCTTGAGGTATGTAAACAGAGAGCCAGGACAGAAAGTTGCACACCACTGCCTCATAACTGAGGCCAGGAATCATTTGCACATAACATCAACAGTGACTTGTCAATCAAAGAGCAACACAAACAAACTTTCGGGACTTTTAATCACATACACATGATCGGTTCACTGTATTTTAAAATCGTTTTTTGAGTATGTTACAACATTGACAATGCTCCGAAATTTTAACACTATCTAGCCAAGACTGTCTGGGTAAGAACAAGCAAATAAAAAAAAATTCACTCTGAGTGCCCACGGACCTACATCTCTACCTTAATTTCAATGAAAAAAGTTGAACTCGACTAAGTAACCATGATTTAAAGATCGAATCAGGACGGCACTCAAGACCAAAAATATGAGTAGAAAAAAGAATTTGAGTGTATTGCACTGACAAAGAAATCAAAGATGGGTACCAATATATCACGTAATGCCCTTCTTACAAAAAAAAATCACTAAAATCACTATATGAAGTTTGCATGAGGCTTGGTTATATGAATATAGACAAACTCTGTACATGTGTATGGTCGTAAAGAGCACTTACAAGAACAGCAGCTTACCCTGTGTCTTTCTAAGCATTTAACACTCTTCATATACTTCAGACAAAATTCACATAAATAGATCACACTGCATTTCGTTAATTCCACAGGGTATGGTGAAAAATACCACGGTCTTATACGATGTCGTCCTAATTCAATCATTTCAATATTTTTCATTCGTGTCACAACATCATCATGGGTTTTATCAACTAGACTTCCAGTTTGCCTGGGTCCTTTGGGAGGTACATTATTAGCAGCAACAAGTGACTGTGGTGGTAGACTATCTTGAGAATCCTACAACGAATTTAGACATTTAATATCAAACACACAAACTACACTTTATATATAGTCCCATCAAAGATAAATCTGCACAATCCATAATATAAGACTTAATTATTCAGTGGGTTTTGATTTCTCTAACTGAATGCAGATACAAAAAATAAGCATATAAGACAACATTTTTAACTCAGTAAAAATTCCCAAAATCTGTGACAATCAAACCAAATAAATATTACTTATTTCATAGCATAAGAATGCTTAAATACTACCGGATTCTGCCATAAATTCACCCTGTTTATCTTTTGAAAACAACTACCGGTAATTTTTTTTATTTAAAAACTAAATCACGCTGCTTTCCCATCAAAATCCAAGACAAAAGATTGTACAACAGCATTTGCAAATCTCTTCAGTTCTGCGTTTTCAATAACATTAATATATTTAAATGAGCTATGGTAATTTGAACATGTTGGCATTATCCATCATTTTGATTGGTTTATTAGCGATTTGACCTGTCAGGTCAAAGAACACTGTCCAAGGTCAAAACATGGCGGATATTCATTTCTACAGCATCAAGCGTTTAAAATGCGACCGGAATCATTTGCTTACCAGTGTTCTCCCCAGAAAAATGTATCAGAGTGGCGGCTAATTTGCATATAATTTACATATCATTAGCATTTGTCTGAAGATAAAGAAAACAATAATGACAGGCTTGCATGGATGAAAATGTGTCTTTATTTTTTAACAAATTTATGTAGAAGATTAAATGAATCTGCTGCTGTGTGATTTCTATGTAATGTTGATTCTTCGGACTTTCATGGAAGCCCAGTGATCTGCAGCTTTTGAGAACGCCGTGATTTTCTTTGCTTCCCACTTCTATTAAATGACATGGCCTTCTTGTGCATCTCCGAGTGTGCGTGTTTATTGATAGCATATTTCGTAATATTTATACATGGCATAGAATTCCATACCAAAGAACTATTTCTGGATGTTTTTAAGTTGAATTTTCCACATATGTGACACAGCATTCCTAAAAGATAAGAAATAGGAGCGAATCAATACTTGTATTTAAAAAATATCGTCACGATCAACACGAAAATAAACAAATTGCCGC